ATGAGATAATCGTTATGGCAGCACCGAGTTTCCTAGGAAACTTAAAGAAACAGCTGGAGGTGAAATGTGGAACCAACCACTGATTGGCAGAGTAGCCTCGAAGCTTTTAGCTCACACATTTTCCCATCATTAGGTTTAGCTGCACCAAAGGCATCTGCCCTTAGAGCAGGCACTTTTGCTGTGTCACAATTTTCATATCCACACCAGAGACTTTTTAGTCCTGTGAAAGTTTTCGGGTTTTTCCCAGGCTAAGCATTTCTATGTGCAATTCTAAAAGGTTAGGCTATTCCTCAGCTACAAGGCTTTGGCCTTGCTAAAACTACAGGGCTGTGGCCCCACTATGCTACGGCCGAAACTAAAGGACTTTGGCCCCTCTAACAGCTGAGGACTGTGGTCCTACTAGTCTACAGCCTGATCTAAGGACTGTGGCCCTACTAGGCTAAAGGTTAAGGCCCTGTGAAATACATGTGCTTTATTAACGTTAGTACCTTTCACATACATATAGTNAAAGCAGGTGCAACTTAAAAATAGTTTAAGCAATTTACCATCAAAGGAGTCATAAAACTAAACTGTGTGACATACAGAATAACCAATGAGATAATCGTTATGGCAGCACCGAGTTTCCTAGGAAACTTAAAGAAACGGCTGGAGGTGAAATGTGGAACCTACCACTGATTGGCAGAGTAGCCGCTAAGCTTTTAGCTCACACATTTTCCCATCATTAGGTTTAGCTGTACCAAAGGCATCTGCCCTTAGAGCAGGCACTTTTGCTGTGTCACAATTTTCATATCCACACCAGAGACTTTTTAGTCCTGTGAAAGTTTTCGGGTTTTTCCCAAGCGTAGCATTTCTATGTGCAATTGTAAAAGGTTAGGCTATTCCTCAGCTACAAGGCTTTGGCCTTGCTAAAACTACAGGGCTGTGGCCCCACTATGCTACGGCTGAAACTAAAGGACTTTGGCCCTTCTAACAGCTGAGGACTCTGGTCTTACTAATCTAAGGGCTGTGGCCCTACTAGGCTAAAAGTTAAGGCCCTGTGAAATACATGTGCTTTATTAACGTTAGTACCTTTCACATACATATAGTTTCCAAAAAAAAAAAAGTATATTTTTAGTTTATTATGTTCCATAACCCCTCAGTTTCTTACACACAGCATAATACATGTACATTTTTTTGATGAGCACTTTTTCAGTTCTGAGGCTTCAGCTTAAAGTTGAGGCAGTTGTTGAAGTTATTGACAGCTGGCCACTGTGTGTGTGTGCGTGGGTGTGTGTACGTGTGTACAAGCATAAACAAAATGTGACATGCTGGGTAACTTCTAATGGTAACATAATTAGTGGGGGGAAAAATAGAAAAGAAAAATGCTACGTATGTGAAGAATACAAAGTCAAATTTAATATGGTCAGTGGACTTAAATTATCTCGAAGTGCATTACGATTGTGTCAGGCCCGTGTAGTAGATGTGTCTTAAGTAAAGAGTAATGTCAGGGCTGGTCTTTGTCCATCACTCAAAGGCAGATTCTCCACCAGGATCTTCATCAAGGAGCCGCCAAAGGCATAAACCGGAGTGTCTCACCTTGAAAGTACGGTGTAGCTTTTTCCTCTGGTGGTTAAGCCAGCTTTCTACAATCCAGTAAGGGCAGGTGTCAGAATCAGAACCCTTCATTTCCTCCGTGTAGCCGCAAAGCCCCAGCTTGCGTTTGGTTTGCAGTTTCTGACAAAGGCATGTTAGAACCGCTCTGTCATGGCAACAGGTTCAGGTTCCTCTAGCCTCATCCGTGCACGTGCCATAGGGCAGGTATCTGCCACGTGCACTGCTGACCTAATTCCTTGCCCTCGGCAGACTTGACTAGCCGATCAAACCATCCTTTTTGAGGACATGGGACTTCCAATGCTAGAAGAACTGATCCAGCGTTGGCCTCGTGTTCCCAGTGGTGCAGGCAGCCAAGACGGCCTCATGGGAGCTATCTGCAGTCACCATTGTGCAATCTGAGCTGTGGGTTGATATGGAACAGCTTGCTGATTATTCTTTCTGTCATTTAGTGCTAAGTGCAATAAAATAAGAAACTGACATTGAAATAGGTGAATTTAAGATTATTTAGAGGGATGGATCGTCTCATGTACAAGCTATGCCCAGTGTCTCGTCTCGGCCAGATGCACTTGCCTGGGAAAGGGCAGGAGGGAAAGCCAGGTGGGCTGCACGGTGTGTGGGGTGCAGGTGATTGGGTCTGTACTGACGTGGACACAAAGCTCCTGTTCTTCAGCCTGCATTTTCTTATGGTTTTGTTTGTGCTATTTGGGTCAATGTCAGTAATCACTTGGTTAGGGAACTTTTATCATCACAGAAATGAGCTGCAGAGGCATAAAGCTGCCACTGGAGACTGTCACTCAGATGCGCTATCTTATAGAGTAGTTCAGTGTCTGTGCTTAATCGAGGGAGCGTTCTGTTTTCAGCCTCCCAAGCTCTTCAGATCCAAAGTGGCATCCTCTTTGTGAAACTACACTGCTGGCAAAATTCTATTTTTGGCTTCTTGCGTCCTGACCAGCAGGACCTTGCTTTTCCCCAAGGACAATGGCTGCCAGAAGCAAGTCCTCTTTCTGTCAGACGTTGATATTCTATCAATTAAAGTAAAAATAGATGAAGCTCGCTAAGACATTTTCATCCAGGCATGTAGACTTGACCACCAGACCCAAGTGTACTAAGATAGAAACATAAATGAATTATCACTGGGTTGCATGAAATGTCAAGGAATCAGTGGAACTCTTGTTTAAAGTGTGAGGGCGTCCCCTTTTTTAGAACTCTCACAGGACAGAGGGCTGTGTGGGACCCTCCAGCACCCAGACCTCCCCCACCCCCAGAGCTACTCGCCCCCGCCACAGTGCCCCGTTCTTGCCCTGACCTGTGCTGCACACATGGGATCGTGTGGGGAAGTGGGCCCTGCCCAGACCGTGCTGTTAATCTTCATTAAATTGCAAATTATTACATTGTATGCAAAAGCCCTACAATTCAGTACCAAACGGGTAACACAAGTGTCTCAGGAATGCAGTTACAGAATGTAATCACCTTGCAGATTTGGCGCTTGGAGCTTTGCAGGAAGGTTGGTTGAAGGACTGCTGTGTGCCACTGGCAAGTGTTAGGAAAGGGGCCGCGAGGTAGGAGAACGCCCCGTGCGATGGTCGCTGGGCGGACCCCCAGGAGGGTCGGGCCTCTGTTGGACACCAGAAGCGCCTCCAGCACTGTACCCATGGCTGTGCTCCTGGCAGCTTCGACACGGCCATCCTTTTTAATTAACTGGAGGTGCATGACCCTCCATAAACCAAACAAGCAGGTAGCCTCATTAGGAGACTCCTCCAGCAGCCAGAGGGAGACAGAAGGGGATAATTAAGCACAGAGCACCCGACACAGCCCCGAGTGCAGTTTCTGCAGCATTGATCGACTTGCAGGAGACACACTGCTGTGGCACTCAGGCGTCACCTACCCCTCGGGTCTGCTGCGGACGTGTGTGGTGCTCAGAACCCAAGGAGGGAGGCAGCTGGGGGTGCAGGAAGAGGACCGTCGGGTAGATTGCCGGTCTTCACTTCCACCTGAGTCAGAACAGGCCTTTTTCCGCACGCCACGCAGCATTTCTAGACCCACGTTCTTGGTCAGTGTTCAGCCCCAAGGGCTGAGCCGATCTGCTGCCCATTCTGAAGACTGTTCTATTCCCTTCATACCTGGCTCTCGAGATAGTGAGTGCTGGGCCGGCCCGGTGGCTCACTCGGTAGAGTGCGGTGCTTGGGAGCGTGGTGGCACCCCCGCCGAGGGTTCGGATCCCATATAGAGATTGGTCCGCTCACTGGTTGAGCGCGGTGCGGGCGCGACACCGAGGGTTGCAATCCCGTTACCGGTCACGAAAAAAAGACAAAAAGGAGATAGTGCTGAGTTCCTGGTGCCAAGAAGGGAAGTGGCCCTGTGCTAAGAGGAGGCGGTGCAGTCCCACTGGTCCTGGGACAACTGCGGGAAACACCGTGTCCTTGGAGCTCCTTTGAGGGCTCCTAGGGAGGTTGCCCAGTAATCTCTCCTGTCCCCACACCTCTCTCATTTAAGTAAACCCAAAATGTGGTGTGTGCCTGTGGTTGGATCCCTGTGTGTGTGGCACGTGGCAGCTGCCTCCAGCCGTGCACAACCATGCTTCATGTGACCCGTCCCTCGAGCCCCGGGTGGGCTCCGCAGGGACATTCCTGTTCATAGGTGAATTCTGGATCTTATTTCAGGTCTTGACTCAGATGAAGAACTTGGGCCGATCTGTCACCACACCTCCTATCTAGGTGATTGTCATGGGGGCTCTCGATGTCCCGTGACTGTTTCTGCCTGTTCCGTGTGTCTGCACGTCTGCATGGTCCATGCTCTGAGGGTTGGGGGTGGACAGCCCATGCCTGGCTGTCCTGTCCCAGAATGTCCTGGATGTGGGGGACCTGGAGCAGAGGTCCCCTGGGTTCAGTTCGCCGGGCCAGCCGAACTCCCATGCTCGTGTCATGCACAGCCGAGCCTCTGCCTTTCTTGGCATGTGGGGAGAAGAAAGCGAGTCGGCTCTGGCACATCCAGGGTCTGCTGAGCATCCGTGGCCACGATGCATGGGCCAGTCCCATGGTTTCTCCTTGTCAGCAGCTTGTCTGAGTTTGTTTCCCTTGGTTTTGTTTCAAAACAGGGCAATAACTGATTTGGAAGACGGGAAGGATTTTATTTACTTCCTAAGTTCATTTCCACAAACCTTGCCCTGCAGCCATGACTAACCCTTCTCTGTGTGTGTTTCTCCCCCGCCCAGATCAGAGGGTGGCGTCCTTCTGCACCCTGACGGACATGCAGCACGGGCCAGACTTGGAGGGGGCCCAGGAGCTGCCCTTGTGTGTAGATCCAGGCCTGGACATAGCTGGGTACGTGAGCCCCTGCAGACTCCTCCTTCCCGCTGTCCCTGCAGTGATCAGCAGGGCCTCCGCTGACCGTGGGCCAGGCAGGAGACATGTCACCCCCACCCGTGTCTATCCCTGGTCCTGAAGAGTCCAGAGAAGGGGCCAAGTAGGACTGACTGGGCTTCCTGCCCTGCAGGGGAGACTGCATTTATTGGTATAACTGAGCCCTCCATGGGTAGATCCTGCCTGCCCAGATGCGTCCCCATGCCCAAGGTGGCGAGCCTCTGCAGGGGCCAGTGTCTGCCACCTGGTTACTGCGACAGCACCGGGAGGGAGCTCAGGCTTCCACCCGCCAGGCCCCACAGGCTGCCCTGCCAAGGACACAATCCCTCCCAGAGCCTGGTCCCTGCCCCAGCCTCACACCCTGCATTGAGGAATGTGGGACTGTCCTGCTTTCCCCGAGTTGGTGACCCGTCTGTCCCCCAGGAGATGCGCACTCTTGACCGGGGTCATCTGCACTTAATTCCAGCATCCGTGTGAACTGAGTTCCCGCTAACTCACGTGTTCACCTTGGTAATGAGCTTTGTAGTGTTTTCATGTCAGAGAGAGACAGATTGGGGAAGTTGAGTCTGTGTTTGTTTCCCAGGACTTCATTCTGGTCTACCTCGTCTCAGTTGGCTAAACTCATTTGAATAACCTATCTTTTTATTTTCTTACCAACCCATACACCTGTGCACATTCCAAATCCCTTTTTAAATCAAGAATCACAGGAGGGGTTTTTCTACCCAAGCAGCAATATGGACACTTTCCCAATCTGACATATTATCTCCTAAGCACATACAATAAATTTTTTTTTCTTTTTTGTCTTTTTTTCGTGACCGGTAACGGGATCGCAACCCTTGGTGTCGCGTCCGCACCGCGACCGGTAACGGGATCGCAACCCTCGGTGTCGCGCCCACACCGCGCTCAACCAGTGAGTGGACCGGTCTCTATATGGGATCCGAACCCTCGGTGGGAGCGCTGCCACGCTCCCAAGCGCCACACTCTACCGAGTGCGCCACCGGGCTGGCCTGACATGCAATAAATTTTTGAGTGAAAACTTTAGCAGTAAAAATACTGAATGGAATGTCATGACTCCACCTCTCTTGAGTCTTCCTAACTGTGTCCTCGTTTGCTAGGGAGCGGTCTCCGTCCACTCTGACCGGCAAAGTCAACCAGCTGGAACTGATTCTTCGACAGCTCCAGACCGACCTTCGGAAGGTAACGTCACCTGCAGGAAGAGTGTCATCAGAACCTTGTCTCACACAGTCCACTTTTCTTAACTGTTGCAAATAGGTCGAAGAGACTCAGAAAGGATATCTGCCCTCAACGGGGGGATATGCGGGACTCCTGCGGCCTAGTTCCATTTTCTGACCTGCGACTGATACATTTGGTTTGGGGGAGGCAGGGACCCCAGTGCATATGCCTGAATGTCGCTGGGCCCCCCGTGTGGCCAGTCCTACCTGCGGGTGGCAGCACCACAGGCCAGTGCTTGTCTGTTGGGTCACTTGTCGGCTGTACCAGTTGTGGGTGAGCCGGACGGGGAGGGTCTTTCAGGCTGGTGTCGAGGCAGGTGTATCAGGAGGGCCTGGGAGGGATGGGAAACAGGAGGAAAACTGCAAGGCAGGGTCAGACATGCTCGGGACAGGAACGTCTCCTGCAGAGGCCATGGTCACCAGCTCACCCCGCCCATGGTACCACACAGTGCTGCGGGCAGCGGCTGGTGGGTTTTGCCATCATGTCAGACCCCATTTTTAGAAACACCGATGTTATAATCTAGCGACGACCCCTCTCTGTGTGGGGCAAGATGTCCCTTTTGGCCCTGGGAGCTGAAACCACGCTGTACATTTTCCATTGCTGTACATTGGAGACTCCAGATGTGACTCTTCCGAAAACCCTGATTATGTTTTACGTAGTTTTTTTTTTTTTTTTTGTCTTTTTTCTTTTTTCCGTGTCCGGCAACGGATCGCAACCCTCAGTGTTGCCCCCGTACCGGACCAGGGACCGGCAACGGGATTGCAAGCCTCGGTGTTGCTCCC